AAAAAAGGTGCAATGCTGATTGAAATATTAATGTAAGCTTAGGTCCTGTTGTTGTTTTGTTCAGTTGAGCAGTTTGAAATGGTTTTGGTGGAGTTCTTTAGTTCAGCTGCTGGATAGGTTTATTGGGAGAACGGGACAGGGGGAGATCAGGAAGGCAGCAGGAGAGAACATTGAACAGCAAAGGTGGCTGTTCAGTAATAAAGTGCAAAAAGTATAAAGTTGCAAGAAAAAGTTTGTGAACCCTTTGAAAGTACCTGGATTACTGCATTAATTACTCATAAAAATGTGGTCTGATCTTCAACTAAGTCACAATAATAGATGAACACAATCGTCTATTATTTAACTAATAGCACACTTACAATTGTACTTCTTCTTCTCAGTACTGAACACACGGGGGAACTCTGTTATGATTATGCTATAAATGAGTTCCTAAAGGCATACTGCTCAAGTTTAGAAATTATAAAACAAATAAACCTTTGATGTGTTTGCACGAGAGAAAAAAAGGTACCTTTAAGGAAGTTGTGTACTGTTTGCAAAGTATTTGATTTTTACAAACAGATAATTTTTCTTGAATAATTTAAAATCTGTTTCATCTGCAGCTTTCAATCAATTGAGCAGAAAGTCACCTTGCTCTTACAAGCGGCTCTGTTTGCAGAGTCTGTGTTAACACTCCACACCCTTTTGAATGAATTTGTATCACCTTTATCACCTATGTTTGTCCGGGGGGTGGGGGTTGGGAATAGTGATGGAGAATGAAATAAAAGCCCACCAGTACTTTCCCTTCCCCCTAGTGCGAGGGGATAATGTGCTGGCTGCATGAACCAATCCGTCCAGAGCTCTTTCTGTCCATCTTGGTCATGGTCTGGAGGTTCATTCATGTTATTATTAATATTAATATTTGATATGTACAATTATCAGAAATGTGAATATACAGTAGCTTGCGTAGTATTTTAGTGTGAGAGAATCACAATTATATTCGTCATTACATTAACAGTTACAACATATATCTCACACTTGAAAACACAGGGTTTTTATTGTACTGGGAGTGTGAAGACTGAGTGAGCACAGGAGCGCACAGTGAGATTGACACAATGAGATTACTGAGATGGATAATTTTAGTAAATATGTTGCCAAATGTCTGGATTTTCTGTTTCACAAGATAAAATTGTATCTAGCTGTGAATTAGCTTTGAGACGTTGCCCCTGTGAAGTTTTGGGAAAGGGGGTTAGTCGGCAGCATTCCTCACAGTGTAGTGCCCAAGGAGTGTTAGTTTTAATATAACAGTGCATTACTGTGATCTTGCAAGTACATTTTTTTAAACATTTGTAATAACTATTCTTGCAAATACATTTTGTATTGTTATTTAATTTATGTCTGCTTGTTAGTTTGTGGGCAAACGTTTGAGGTAAAAATTCTTCTATTTTAGTCATAGTCATCTGGCTGCCTGACTTGTTCCCGTTTTTAACCATTCTGTGTCAGAATTGCAGCGGGTGAGAGAGAAAAAAGTGAATCCTAGCTACAATGTATTTATGCTGTATATGTTTTGTGGTAAGGGGAAGGAAAACATGAGGATTTACTGTAAGTAATTAATGTAAGATTTATAGTCTAAATACGAACCTGAGAACAGAGTTAAAATCTCACCAAAAAGAGGAATGTTGGAAATGTGTAATTTCTCTGGAGCAGAAATACAAATATAAAATAAATGCTTTTTGACCTCTCAAATAAATTACAATCAAGGTTTCCAAAACAAACAAGAAAAACATTTTCAGAGAGCAACTACTTTGTGTTGACGTAAAATACGTAATTAGAAATTTGAGCAATCTAATTTTCTTATTCATTAAAATGTGAAATTTTACCTGCAGAAGAATGCACCAGAGACAGCACTAGCTATGCTTGTCATAGAAGTTCACTGTGTGAAGTTACACAGTATCTTTAGTCCCCTCTATTTTCAAATCTCTTTATCCACTACAGGGAAGCTGTAGCTTTTTCCAACAAGCAACAGGCGCAAGGCAGGATACTCCCTGGACATTACACTAGTGTCATGGCAGATACTCAGACACAAACACACACACTCACACCAAGAGGAAACCAGATTAACTGAGGAAACCCATGTGAACCCAAAGAGAACATACAGTACAAAGTCCACATACACATTACTTCAGGAATTGAACCTAGGGCACCAGCATTGTAAGACAGCAATGTTAACCTCTGTGCTACCATTAGAAATGGATAAGTAGTCATCTTTGTATTTGGTAGTAGTTCAGGTGGGTAGCTGCGTCAGCATGCGTAGGCTGCAAAGGAACAAGTAATAGGTTTATTCCTTTGTATTTGTTCATTCCTTTGTATTCCTTTGTATCTTTGTATTTGCATGCATTATTTAATTTTGAAAGCCACTGAGACATCAAGTGCTACTGTTGTATTTCTGAAAAAAGACACAAAAAGCATGCTAACCACTATGTCACTTTATTCTTTAGGTAATATATTTAATTTATATAAACAGTTACATTGTTTAACATCGTTACTAATTATTGTTTAGTTAGTACAATATTTAATTTTTTTTTTATATTTTACCTTCATTTTTTATTTTATTATGTTTGTATTTTATTTATTTTCTAATAGATTTAACATATTTGAACAAAGTCTTGTAAATTAATATTTTTACAAGATGTGGAAGAAGTGCAACAATTTATTAAGGTGCAAATTGGAATATTAATTATTGATTTCCAATAGTTTATGCTAACACCTAACTTTCTTATTTAGATGTATATAAAATATTCAAGTAACTGTGACATAACATTCAGAAATATATAATCGAGAATAGTTTGTGGTGTTTGTGCAGATGTAACTTTTCTAAAATTTATAAAACATTTAAAACGATCAAAATGTATATTCTTTCCAAGTGTAATGTCATTAGGAAGTACAATAGGTGCATAGCGGTGGTTCTGTGTCTAAGGTTCAGCGCCTGTGGCTGTAGGGTTGTCGGTTTAAATCCTGTGGCCGGCAGAGGAATCCTACTCCGTTGTGCTCCTGAGCAAGGCCCTTAACCCCAACTGCTCCATATAAATGCCTGACTCTGCGCTCCGGCCCCAAGCTTCTCTATTCCCGTCTGTGTGTCTCATGGAGAGCAAGCTGGGGTATGCGAAAAGACAAATTCCTAATACAAGAAATTGTACATGGCTAATAAAGTGATCTTATCTTATCTAATAAATTCCTGCTTTGTTTAACGATGGTTTCAAAAATAAAAGTAACTGCTAAGAAAGATGTGTTAAATGATAATTAAAAGACTTGAAGTTAAACAAAATGATTTACATTGTTTGATTAGTTTAAAAGGCAGACGTTCTTGGTGCCCTTGGTGTGCCAGGCTTCTCTGACTGAGCTCAGTGGGCGGTGTGCTATTTTCTTAGTGACCTGCTGATCTGCTTCACACCACGGGAAGACTGGAGAATATGATTTTTTTCTGTACGAAATGCATGTTGTGTTTACGAAATTAAACGTTTTAAATTAAAGGTTAAATTAAAAAGTAAACAAATATATACAGTTTACACAGAGATTCTAAGCTGTTCATGACGAAGAAAAATCACCAGATTAACTTGCATAAAAGTGGGTTTTAAACTATCTAAACACTTTTTCTTACGCAGGGGCATGTCACTGTTTCTTATTTTTGATTTTCTTTAAAAAAATAAAAGAATCAGTTACCCATCGTGCCATACAGTATAACAGGTACTGTATGTTACATTTTTTAAAGTTTTCAAGAGACTTCAGAACGCTTCGACTGATACATAAAAAAATTAGCATAATGTGTGCTGTTGTGAAAAAGCGATCACTCTGCTTTATATGGTCAGACGTTGCACATACAGTACATACATTTAATTCCATCCATTTTCTAATCTCTATCCAGTACATCTAAGCAAGCAATGGGTGCAGGACAGTTGAATAGTCATTTTCACATTATGAACTCCCTTATACTTGGGACCCGCATTATTCAAACTAAGGTTTCTAAAAATGCAACCAGGTTGTAGATTTTGTTTAAATAAAAGTAATAGTAATGCAATAAAAATTGTGATCTTTAAAATGCCTGTAGTCTGAAGGCTCTGTGTAATTTTTTAGCAAAGATATTGACATCTGAAACATCGTGTCTCATAAATACTATTTAAAATAGGCATTTTAATAAGAAAGTGAAGTTTATGAAACCGGAGAAAACAAATGACCCTGAACAAAATACAAGAAGTTTGAAATTATTATTTATTAATAATAAATTGTTAATTATTATTGTTAATAATGATCAGTTTCAGTGATCTTTTTAATACCACTTTGTTATTCTCAATTATAATTATAATACATATATATGATTACACTTTAAGGCTTGTTGTAAAGGCTTGTTTTTAATTGCCCTATGGCGATAAATAAAGTATTTTGAATTGAACAGAATTAAACTGGTTTTTACTCCCACTGTTGACAGTATTCACGTTTGCTCCTTCATGTCTTTTAACACAATATCATTTAACACATTGTGATCTATAAAAATAATAAAGCCATTTCGAATGGCTACATCTGTACATAGAAAGATGATACAGATGTGGTGCTTGTGCCATCTTCTGTTCAATTCTTGAATCACTGATTATTGTATGTAATAGAAAAACATATTTCTCCCTTTATGTATGAATAATAATACAGTGTAATGAAATATATCTTATTTTTTATTATGTATGCATAAAGAAGTGGAATTTTATGACTATTTTTTCTTTTATTGAATAAGGAACTTCAATGATCTTAAGCAGATTGTTTTCCTGGAGTACACATGATAATAACTTAACTTTGAAAATTTAACCATGGTTTCACATACACAGTTTAATACTATTATTTAAATACTATTATTGGCTTGTCTAATGTACTAAAGAAAACAAGTCAATGTGTGTACATAGCTATTCCTGGTCTGTGTTAATATAAAGCTCACAGTGTATTAACAAATTGGTTCTTACTGTCTTATTTCTGCCTTTTAGTTCTGAGGGCATTGACTTGCTCTGCTCAAGAATCAGGTAAGGGAACATAAGAAGCACAGCATCATAAAATTCTAAAGCTTATCAGAGAAAAGGCAATGAGTGAGTTTGGAATGCACATTTTCCCATGAAAGTAATTTAAGCTCAGATATTACAGCAGTATGCTGCAACCATAGCTTAATTAGTCTATCTCTTCAAAGAAAACAGAGCACAGAGGGGGGAGAGAACATCTGAGAGTCCAGTGGGATGAGCTCAAGACTATCAGAAGTGTCTTGGAAGGCTAGCGGTCACCTGTCTAGGTTAGATATGTTTCAGACTAAGAACTCATGTATTGAATAGGGTCAAAGAGACAGTAGTCTTCTAAGACAAGCCATCATATCTCTTTCTGATTAGACTCTAGACTTTATATCAGACAGGGACATTGAGAAGTGAAGTAATACAGTAGCTACAGTAGATTGGTTGTTGGAGTGAGGCCTGCCAGTCATGTAGTCAAGAAGAAGGTAGAGCTGGCCTGGTCAAATGGTATTAACTGAGAAAGGTCTTGTACTGCTGCTACCTATCAGGTCCATATGACCTGATAGGGGTCCACAGATAGTTGCTGGGTATGGATATTGTAATAAATCCTGAGGGGATTTTATGTTCTCAAATAGGGGAAAATCAGAGACCATAGGTTCTATAGGTTTATAAAATACAGGAGGGAGTTTGAGTAGGAGAGAAGAAATAGGTTAGGTCTCAAGAAACATGCTTGAGGAGACTTGTCTTGGCTCTAAGAGTTGAGAGGCTACTGTAGGTTGTGGGATATTCAGGAAGCCAGAGATAAGCAGCTGGGTGCACGGAAGAGGGGGAGTGGTAGAGAAATTACCACTTTTGAAACAGGATAGACATTTTATTAACCAACAGTTTATTCACCTTTTCAGCAACTTAAAGGGAATTTCCAAAAGCCAGCCACCACTTTAAAGACAAACAATTCCTAAACAATTCAGCAGCTAAAGGAAAATATATATATATTAAGAATAATTGGTGTTTGTAACAGTTCTCACAAAATGTGAACATTTTGAACAAAAGCAAACAGGTGACAGGCAATTAACCAGTTACAAGGTATTATTATGAAATAAGATGTGTAGAGCACAGAGTGGCTAGGTATGCTGAGGTATGCTGAGAGCACTGATCTAGGTGTCTCCTTGAGCCATTCATTAAATCTGTATTTAATTCAATAAAGTTTTAAAGACATTGTTGCATCCTAGACTTGATGCTTAAGTATTCAGCTCCAGCTGCAATTCTATCAGTTTTCATGGGTATACTATTCCAGAGGGAGTGGCTACTTTTGGAAATGAGAGGGAATATAGCCAACAGTATTACTTTGATTTTCTGAAAGTAAATAAAGTAGTCACCACAATCTTTTGTCCACTTAGCAGTCCAAATGAAGCATGTTTCAGTTAAAGAGGAACTGGAAGAAACAGAAAGACTTCTGTTAAGTATATACAGTATTCTCTCAGGAGACATGGTGGACTCATGGAATTCTGGTTTTGATCGGCACATTGACACCACTGATATATTTAATAATCTGCACCTGGTGACAATAATGACTCTTCTTCTTTAGGGAATCATGGTTAAATTTAGTGACCTGATATTTTGTATCATATCTCCTTTCCTTTTTCCTACTCTTTGCTTTACAGGATGTGTTTAGCAGAAATAATATAGTGTATATACAGTACAGTAGCATTCTGGCAAATGCAAATACATATGCTAAAATATTTATACAAATAAATAGTTATATTCTTATTTTATTTCTCAATTGAAAGTACTGTACTAATTGAAAAAATACTGGTTCATTTTAAACGATAATATCTCATTGTTTACTTGCCCCGTAACCCCCTCAACCAGTCAGCTATTTAGACAATAAATGAATACTTAGAGATAATAGTGTTAACTGGACTGGCCAGTACCCCTGAAAGCCATTTACAGTACAGTATATACTGTATGATTTGAGATGATAGTAGGCCTTGGGACATGATGTTAGGATTATATAATAATACATTAAATATTAACATTGCAGTTAACAAAACTATTTATATGTTTGTTTGCTTCACTTAAAGTATGTGCATAGGAATGTGAACTATAGACTTAAACCAAAAAAAACAGGACAGACAGCCTTACACATCACTGCTTCTCATGTTGCCATTGTAATAGTGAGTTTCTGGCTCATAATAGGAGCAAGAGATATGTGATGTTTTAAAAAAGACTTTAAAATGTTTCCTGTATAGATTAAATATAGAAAAGGGTGAAAACATTTTCAATAATAATAATAATAATAAAATTAACTTCTTTTTCAGAAATCAATCATAAGCCCATCTTGACTCGTGAACCTTCCAGTAAAGACATATACACGGGAGACAGTGTCACCCTGACCTGTGCAATTGGGGAAGATTCTGAAGGCTGGAATTATTTCCTGTACAAAGACACACAGGAACTGCCCACAAGTGACAGTGGAAGTACTGCTGGATGCAGTTATACCATCAGCTCTGCTGCTCTGTCACACAGTGGAGAGTACAGGTGTATCGCTCAGAATAGGAGTACAGGCTCTTATTCTGAATACAGTGATTCTTTAAAATTAAATATACATGGTAAGAATCTGTATAAATATTTAAATTTTATCTTCAATCTCTCGTAATGCTATAGAATAGAACTTCACTTCAGGCAGGAGAGCTCATGCAAATATATAGATATTCATTAAATATTCACATTTCTCTGTTACGTGATTTGCGTTAGGCCTTGTTCTTAAGGTATCCCTGCCATCTTAGGGAATGTTTTGAAGCTTAGAGTGCTTGACAAGAAGTGGCCCCTACTGTACCTAGACAGAACGTCACCCCCTCCAACAGGAATAAAAACCTTTTGAGATAAAGAGGAGAACTGGACTAAAATGCAACAAGGCTGATTTCTGTTTAACTGAATATGGATTGACAAAGGATTCCTTTTTCTGTGTTCATTGGATGTGTTTTAGTACTGATTATCAAATGTGTTATAGATAATCATCCCATGTAGTGATAATTTGTGGAAAAACAAAGTAAACTCATATGTATGTGGAGAGTTGTTTTCAGGAAGGAAATGTTCGGCCAAATCATAATTTCTCTTTACATAAACATATAACTCCTGTACTCGAAATTGGACTGTTGTTTTATAAAATCACATATTGGTAAAAATAGGAACAATACATAAAACATCAAATTGTACATTTTAGTCTGAAACTGTAGCATTCTTTAATCTTTTTTAGATAGTACTGTATTGCATGGTCTTCATTGGAGCATTTTTTACTGTAGATGAATCATCTGTAGTAATGTTTTATTTCATTCAGTAATGTTTCATCTATGAATTGGCTTCATTACTCTGCTCTCCTCCCCACTGATAGCTGATGTGTGGTGAGCGTTCTGGCGCACTATGGCTGCCGTCACATCATCCAGGTGGATGCTGCACATTGGTTTCTCCCATGGAGAAATATACACAGGAGACAGAATTACCCTGAAATGTGACACTGGGGGACGTTCTGTTGGCTGGAAGTATCTCTGGTATAAAGACACAGAGGGAGCAGTCCTGCTCAACAATGACAGCAGTAGGACTGATGGGTCCAGTTACACCATTAGCTCTGCTGCTCTGTCCCACAGTGGAGAGTACTGGTGTCGAGCTAGAAGGGGAAATGTGTTCTATTACACTTATCACAGTAATTCTCTGCATATAGAAATCATAGGTAACAAATTTAATTAATAAAATGATTCATCCTTACATCTTGATGTTATCTTAATGTTTGATACTGTGGATGTTATTTCAATATACAACTGCTTTATTTGGTAGTTTTAATCTTGTCTTATGTGCAGCTCGACCACAGGCAGCACTGACCTTGGAGTCTGGATGGACAGAGATATTCATAACAGAAAGTGTGACTATGAAGTGTGAGATTGAGGGGGAGTCTACTGAGTGGATTTATAAATGGTACAGAAATGGACAGCAGTTTCCTGTAGACAAAACAGTCCCCAGTAAGAGAAATGGAGACACATACACAATCTTCTCTGCTGAGCAGTCACACAGTGGCAAATATACATGTATAGGGGAAAACAGAAAAAAAACACTTTTCTCTGAAACTAGCAATGCTTTTACAGTGAAGGTGTCCGGTAGGTATTTTCTGACACTGATTTATTTTATAACCAACTATGTTTGTGCTGTTGTGTTTGTTTTTTTTAACTAATACTCTGGCTTTCTTCAAGAAAATGCTGTATGAGATACAGTACTTGGGTCACTTGGATACTAACTACCTGACGGGTATTTTGTTTGGATATTTGTGATGTTTTTTTATGCAATCTGCATGTTCATATACTATATGATCCATAAAACCGTTGACAATATAAAAGACTTTTGAGATTAAAAATTTAAATTTTTAGGTTTACATTTGAAGTTCTAAACCTAAAAATCCTACAGTCCTAAAGTAAAAATGAATATAAGTGATATTTTGTCCTGTGTTCATGCATTACTTTAGTGCCCTGTGTTTCTCTGCCAGAGAAAGAAAAAGAAAAAAAAACACATGGACAGTAAGCAGTTCGGGGACTTTTTTTTGCATTTAGACAAAAAAAAAACCCACATGTACTATAAAATCTGTATTAACATTAAAAAACACCTTTTCTGACTCTCTAATTATTCACAGCCCTACCTAAACCTGTACTGACTCTGGAGTCTGGGTGGACAGAGATATTCACCACAGAAAAAGTGACTCTGAAGTGTACAATTAATATGGATTCTGCTGAATGGATATATAAATGGTACAGAGAGGGACAGGAGCTTTCTTTAGACAAGGCCGGTTCCAGCAGTAGGAACAGAAACAGATACACAATCCCCTCTGCTGCTCAGTCAGACAGTGGAAAATATACCTGTAGAGGTCAACATAGAAGAAAATCACTTCCCTCTGAAAGCAGTGATGCTGTTACACTGCAGGTGTCTGGTAAGTATTTCTGACACCTATTCATTCTGTTATCCATCTCCCTAACTTGAAAGTGCTGAAATTTCAGTGTTTTTTCTGTTTGATTTCCCAAGTTAATCCCTGTATTTTCATACTTAATTTAAAAATGCCCTCCTGTTTTGCCATTCAGAATACACATTTCCTAGGAATAACAACACAATCACAAATTTGCCTCAACCTGCTTGACTGAGGATCAGCCCCCTGGCCATAGGATGAAGAGACTGGGCCCCTCATGTAGAGTGAGAAGTTAACAAGGGGTAGCTGCAAAGGTGGAGATACGGAGGAGAAGTGATGAAAAAAGGGAGAGAGCAGGATTATGTATGGCATATAGAGTTTATATGAGTAAATTACTTCTGGAATTATTTTAAAATCCTGACAGCGGAGGTTAATTTTATTTGGCTGTTGTTATACTTCACAAATGTTTGTTATCAACTCCATTTTAAGCAACAATGTCTAAAGTCTTTATTAACTGTTCTGTAAGGGATGAAGATTGATTATAAAATGGAGCTACAGTATTTTGGCCTATTGCATTGTTTGTAGTATTGTTTCATACTGAAATACTGTATTGAAGCACAGGAAACAATATAGGGAGTATGCTTCTTTTAACTCATTTTGTTTCCTTTATTTTTTATTTTATTCTGGTTTAAAGGATTATAGAAGTGCCCTTGTGTCCTGAGCAAAGATTAACTTTAAAACATTCAATTTATGTTTGTTTTTCATTTTTTACTTTCACATTTAAGAGAGCAGAATTTAAAATCCAAGGAAGTTATATTCAAACTTTTCAATGCGTTAGTAAGACCTTATATGGAATATTGTGTTCAATCTTGGTCATCATATCACATAAACACACTGAACCTTTAGAGAAAGATCATCATGAGTAACAGTAATAATTGCTTGGACAGATTGCCTTATACAGATATTACAAAACAACTTGAACTCTTAGGTCTAGAACGAATGCATTTGAGAGGAATTTAATCTAAGAATATGAAAAATGAAATGTGTCATTGAATGTTTTCTCTCCCCTCTCACTAGTCATTTGCTTCTCATATAACCTGCTTGCTCATAAAATATGTTATAACCAAAACCACACTAAATAAAAACACTTTAAAAGGTAAAATGTTTAAGATTAGAAATGAAATTAATATATTACTGTAATATTTTCAATTTAGTAGTTGGCATTTAATCCTGAGTTCCTGCATATCTTCAGTGGTCCCCAAAAGAGGAGAGAAAGAATAGGAATTTATGTTGGATATTTAGGTGGCTATGGAGTGTGTTCTAGGATTTCTTTACATTATGGCAAGATAAAACTCCAGTGCACTGAATTACAACTTAAACATCTATCTTGTCTCATATCTACATAACTCAACATTTCTGACCCTCTAATATTCACAGCTCTACCTAAACCTGTGCTGACGTTGGAGTCTGGATGGACAGATATATTCACCACAGAGAAAGTGACTCTGAAGTGTGCGATTCAGATGGATTCTGCTGAGTGGATCTATAAATGGTACAGAGATGGACAGGAGCTTCCTGTAAACAAGGCCAGTTTCAGCAACAGTAACAGAAACAGATACACAATCTCCTCTGCTGCTCAGTCAGACAGTGGAAAATATACCTGTAGAGGTCAACATAGAAGAAAATCACTTCCCTCTGAAAGCAGTGATGCTGTGACACTGCAGGTGTCTGGTAAGTATTTCTGACACATATTCATTCTAACTGTTATCCAACTACCCAAAATAAAGTTGCTGAAATATCAGCTTCTCCATTTTATTTTTAAAAAATGAACACTGTACTTCCATACTCAATTTAAAAATATCTTCAAGTTTTGCAACAATAGTGTAACGAACAGTTCTTTCCGGACCCTATGCGGACGACACAATCAGAAGAAGTGGGGAAACACTAGGAAAACGTCATGCAGGAAAACGGGGCTGAAAACAGGGGGGGTGTCCAAAGTGCGCTGGTGCACGGGGGAGGTGTGGCCGAGGCAAACAATCAATTTTTAACATGCAGTAGAGTAGAATTTAAAATTAAGTTAAGTTATTTTAAGGCTTTGTAATACATTAGTAAGGTCATAAAGACCATTTGGCAGCTTTACAGAACGTTCAGAGATGAATGATTTAAATGATTTGAAGCTTATATACAGTGGACTAGACTTATTGTATACTAATGTCTTTTCAGCAAAAACATAGCAATAACTGATTAACTTCTGTTTCAGATACAAAACCAAAGCCCACCCTGACCCTGGACCTCGTCTATGGAGAAATATACACAGGAGATAGAATTACCCTGATATGTGACGCTGGGGGACATTCTGTTGGCTGGAAGTATCTCTGGTATAAAGACACACAGGGAGCAGTCCTACTCAACACTGACAGCAGTAGGACTGATGGGTCCAGTTACACCATTAGCTCTGCTGCTCTGTCCCACAGTGGAGAGTACTGGTGTCGAGCTAGAAGGGGAAAAGTGTTCTATTACACTGATCACAGTGATTCTCTGCATATAGAAATCATAGGTAACAAATTTAATTAATAAAATGATTCATCCTTACATCTTGATGTTATCTTAATGTTTGATACTGTGGATGTTATTTCAATACACAACTGCTTTATTTGGTAGTTTCAATCTTGTCTTATGTGCAGCTCGACCACAGGCAGCACTGACCATGGAGTCTGGATGGACAGAGATATTCATAACAGAAAGTGTGACGATGAGATGTGAGATTGAGACGGGCTCTGCTAACTGGAGCTATAAATGGTACAGAAATGGACAGCAGTTTCCTGTAGACAAAACAGTCCCCAGTAAGGGAAATGGAGACACATGCACAATCCTCTCTGCTGCTCAGTTACATAATGGGCAATATACCTGTAGAGGAGAAAGTAATTTTAATCCATTTTACTCCAACAACAGTAATTCTGTGATACTGAAGGTATTTGGTAAGTATTATCTAATACTGCATAATTCTAACTGTGATATTTTTTCTTATAACAAAAGTAATGATGATATCTCTTCAAGTTCTTCTTGCTAGACCACTTTTCTAATTGTATTCCTTTCATAAGAACATAAGACTTTATAAAATGCTATAAATGAAAGGGAAGTAATCACCCTATTTTTCTTCTTGAAGGAATCTTAACCTGGTGTTAATAACATTGTATTAGAACAATGTGGTTGAGACAGAACACATTATTTAACTTTTGTGTTTCAGAAACAAAGCCAAGGCCAATTATGACACAGGAACTCCCCATTGGAGAGATATACACAGGAGATAGGGTCACCCTGACCTGTGGGCTTGTGGGAAATTCTGCTGGATGGGAGTATCTCTGGTACGAAGATAGACAAGGACTAGTTCTCCTCAACACAGACAGCAGCAGGACTGATGGGTCCAGTTACACCATTGAGTCTGCTACTATATCCAACAGTGGAGAGTACAGGTGTCAAGCCAGAAGGGGGACTGTGCCCTTTCATTCTCAAAGCAGTGATACTCTTACATTAAACATATCAGGTATGGTACTGAAATATTTTGATTTACTTTTGAAATCAGATTTTTCTTTGTCAAAGGAGAACATAAAGAACTTCATTCTGTCATGATTTGAACCCCTTCCCCTTAAGGGCGCTCCAGCTCTTTCACATTTTACCTGATCTCCTGCACCTGCCTCCTGTTCCAGTCTCCCCTTAAAAGCCAGAGGTTCCCACTATTCCGGGCTCAGAATTGGAAGATGGACGCCACAAGGCTTGCCTATTTTCCGGGTTGTCCGAAGGCAGGCCTTTTCCCCGGTGTCCTGACCGTCTGCGTCCAGGGCTTGGAGCGCCTGGCCCTGTTACCCTATTTTATTCCCCCGACCCTTCGTCGGATCCTGTTCCGGCTTTTAACTTCATTTGTCTTTGTCATGGATGGACCACCCGGCTCTGGTAATTTGCCTCCCTATGAATTTCCCTAAGAGAACCTCTTTGGACTGTTTGCCTGGACCACGCCCCCCTCGAGCATCTTCATCGCGCTCCCCTGTTCATCTACCAGCCCTGTTTCTAGTCTCCTCCCTGTGTCTTTTCACTCCATTCTGGATTGGGCTGTCTGCAAAGACGCGACGTAACGCATTCCAATCACTTAGCATGAAGGAATATGTTTTAACATAGTTATTGTGATGTGAATTCATACAAATGTACAAGTTTAAAACAATATTTTTTTTCCATCTTATTGTAGTAGAGGCTCGACCTCAGGCTGTGCTCATCCTGGAGACTGTATGGACAGAGATTTTCACTACAAACTATGTGACAATAAAATGTGAAGTTAAGGACAGCTCTCTTGAGTGGAACTACACATGGTACAGAGATGGACAGGAGGTTCCACAAAATGCAAGTGACTTTGGTAGAGGATATGCAGAGAGATTCACATTTAATTCTGCAACTGAATCACAGAGATCTAATTTCAGCTGCAGAGGGAAGAGGGAAATGAAACCCACCTACTCCTTTGAGAGTGATGTTCTTATACCCAAGGATATCAGTGAGTCATCTTTTTTTTCCTTTTAAATAAATACAATAATAAATAGCAACAATAATTTTCCCTGTATGCTAATATAATAATTAAACTCAAGTCAAATAACATAAGTATATACTTTAGACTTACACAAATGATAAAAGTGTCATCAAAACAGATAATTAAACCATAGTATTTTCAGCATGAATATTGTAAAAACATTACATATACAGTATAGTGTTGGGTATGATCTTCATGAGCATTAACACAACATTTACCTTATCGACCTTTGTAGGTCAGGACTGTGAGTTAGACTTTCCTCTCGAACTGGGAGGTCAGCAATCTGATTTTGACCCTGCATTGTGGTACTGTAGCTGTATAATGTAGATCATTAATTACAGTAACACCTAACAGTGAAGCACTAACCGGGCATTTGCTGTTCTCCTGTCCTAACTGAGGGTTGTTGACCTCTTCTGTTTTACTCAGAATAGCCTCAGTGGTAGAAGAATTTGAGGTGGTCACTTTAGTAAGGTCAGATCACAGATCAATGGCCAGTGTTACACGAGCACCTGCTTGTTCAACTGTCTATAATCAATTATCAAACCATTGGGTTTCAGCACTGGAAGGTGTGGGAACTTACAATATGAGTGATTTACCAATGAAATTCATTCACTCACTCATAAGTTATTGTTCTGTGAGAGAGTGCAGTGTGTCTGTGATTGAGTCACGCATAGCAGAAGAAATATTGTACTGCTTCTCAACAGCTGGCTGGGATTCAGGAACTGTGGTGTCACGCTCACTACACCTAGAGGGTGCTCTATTTTCCTTCTATTCCTAGTTCCCTGTGATTATTCATGTCTTTCTGGTGTGTCTTGTTGTGTAGCCTATTTATTTCCTGCTTCTGCTCTGCCACTTGCTCAGCATTGATTTTCAGTATCTGCCCTGAGACCCGCCTAGCACCAGGTCACTCCTGTCTTTGGGCTGAGGGCATCGGTTTCTATACAGCTTCTCCTGAACAGCTGAGCCCGGGCTAACCCCCGTCTCGTCGCTACGCCTAGGGTCTTAATGGCTCTCCTGTCTCTCTACGGTTCGTCCTTTCGGACATACGTGACAGTGGTGCTATACACAGTGTGCAGTTCAGTTAGGCTGCAATCACAAGCCTCCTTTGTGAAAACATCTTGGAAACCTTGAAAGTTTAGAAATTCAGTTTCCAGAGATTAGATTTGTGTAGCTATTTTATCTGCTCTATTTGTTCTATTTATCTGCTTTACACAACTGTCTGGTAGTTGTATAGCTGCTGCATCTACCCTGAAGTCTGTGGAAAGCTTTTCCTGAGCACCTGTGTGAGCTGCACTCTTATCATTAAGGTGCACTCTGCCTAACCCAGGTTTGAAGAAACCCTTTACCAGTAGGACAGTTGTCATCCACTTGGACTTAGAGTGGTACCTGTTCGCTACCCCCTTTTTTCACCGGGGGACTGGGAAACTTGTGAAGCTGGAGTAGTGACTTAATGGTTAGAGCATTTGGCAGACCCATTCTGTGTGAGTAGAGACCCTGCCATGCCCTCTTCGCTCTGTGCCAGCAATTAGAGGACTTGATCCTTCTGTTCAGGTTAAGGGTGCTGCAGACCATCAGGTTTGATGTTACAACCTGTGTTGACGGATGAGAAAATAATGTTCTGCCTGCTTACTCAGTCCCCTGCTCTATTTGAGGTAGAGAGCGACATCTGCAGTTAATGTGGGGACCACCATGTCACCCTCATTTACTACCTAGTGGGTCTGAGGAACAGTTTTCCCTATGATGTTTCTCTAGGTCATCATGCAGGGAGTTGTCACCTTGGCCTCACATGTGTCTGTAACATGAGGCTTATGGTATCCAACAGGACGCTAGGTCTCAATATCAGGTCTGCACCTACTTGGGCTGGGTGAGACAGCTGGGGTGCTACCGGAGGGTAGTGAACTAACTGGTTCTCACTGATATGGCTAGAAACTGAGAAGGTTCCATAGATCCATATTGGTTTGTTAGCAGACAGTTTGTTAGTAGTCTCATTGGAGCATGGTTTCAGGACAGGTGTTCAATGAATTGGTCACTAGCATCTGATTTATTCAGAACTTTCAGTCCCTGCACATCAGGGAGGCAAAAACAAACTATTATTATTTATTTCTCCAGAAGTGTCAGCTTGAAGCTAAACAGCATTTACTAAGTCTGGCATCTTTTACTTGACTACTGCACATTAATTCTTCCCTTTTTCCAGTGTAAAACAACTCTGGCAGACTTGACCTGAGCCCACCACTATAGCTGGTGGCAATCCAGTAAAGGTGGCAGCCTATATAGCCCATTCTGTCCAATAAGCATAGGCTCTGAAAATCTGGAAATATACAGTAGATGGGATGTTTTACAATTTCTTTGCCAAATTTTAAACTTTTACCCTGTGTGTTATTCTGGAAGTGTCTTACATGCTATTAGTAGTTGTTATATTACAAGTTTCCACTTTGAGAAAGTTTCCAAAATGTTGTATGCTTTGTTTAATCTTTGTGAACTGGCTGGATGAGACTAAACATACTGCAGTCCTGGTGTCTAGCAATGCTTTACAGTGCGTAGTATTTTTAATGGTGACATTGACATATAAGTGATTTGCTTAGCTTTTCTGTACCAAACTGCCTAGAGCCAATTTGAAGACAGTTTTCTTTTCACTGAACTTGGGTTGGTGTGTGTCCAAAGTTCCAAGCTGCGATCTACATGCCTCACCCTTCCTGGGGTTCTCCCACCCAATCAGATGGGATGTCAGTGTTACAGATTCGGTCAGTGAAACCGAAACCAAGTAGTGAACCCACTTGCGGGAGCCGACAGAGACGAGTCGTGATCCAAATACCATAAACGAAGGAGAGAGCCGAGAGTCCAAGGGAAGCCAGTGATCCAAACCGAGAGGAAATAGCCAAAGCCAAACAGTAATCCAAAACTGTAGACGAAGGGGAGAGCCGAGAATCCAAGGGAAGCCAGAGAACCAAACTAGAAGAAAGCAACCGAAGCCGAGCCGTAATCCAATAGAGGTAGTAAAAGGGGAACAACCAAAGTCGGAACCAGAACAGTACGAGGAGGTTGAAGGCGTAGCACAACTAAGAAGCTCGAAAGGGAAACCAATACTGAGCGAGGAGGTAGGGAAAGACTAATGCTTAAATACCAGATGAGACGGAGGTGTGGTGGTGAACGCGTACCGTGATAGGTGGACTGATGAACTAAGGCTACGCCTTCTTCTGCCTCTTTCGTTGCCGAGAGGCAGGGATCGTAACAGTCAGAGGAGGAGGAAGAAGGTCCTGACTTGTTGACACATGTGTGGGGCATGCACTGCAATGCCGAGGGAGTGGCCCTGACCTAATTCACACTACCAGGAGCCAAGCGAGTGGCATTGGAGTCTCCTTGGTTACTCCTAGGCTTGGATGTCGTGCGGGGCTCTGTCAATATTGACCGCTGCATGGTTAACCCTACTTTGATGGCTTTTACCCACCTCAGGGCTAAATCGGCCAGGGTTGCTTTTATAGCATGAATATGCTTTTTGCGCCATATTTCTGATAGCCGATGATCTCATTGTCTTTGCATCTGCATGCAGTACAATCGTGTCTCTGACCGATGGGTGAAGGATTTGCAATGAATAAACAATTAAAGTCAACATCCTCATCAGATTCCTGATAAGTCTGCCATGCAAAGTACATCAACCTAAATGTTTCGCAAAATACAAGAGGAGACTTGGTTTTCACCTGTGGTTCTGGGAAGAAATCAGCTTGGAGACTTGATGGAGCCCATCGACACTATATATTATTAAATGTACATAATTGATAAAGTTTTACAACATCTTTTATCGGAGGGGCCTTTTTAGCTGCATCCCTCTGCATTTGGAGAGAGGCACCAGCTACTTGGTCAAGACACACCAAGATTATTAGATATATTTAATAACTTTAATAACATTTAATTCTAAATGAAGTCTGGTCTCTACACATTATAACTCATCTGTAATTCGGTAAACAATGTTTTGTGGCATTGCACCGTAACTGCTTGAGAATGTAAGAGGGCTGATTTAAATATACTGTACCTCTCTTGCCCCTTACTTGGATAGCTTTCTGGGATATGAAAGCATTTCCAGGAGAATGCTTACATTAATAATAATAATTATTATTATTTACACTTACTGTATATAGAGCTTTTTCTGGACACTCCACTCAAAGTGCTTAACAAGTAATGGGGACTCCCCTCCACCACCACCAATGTGCAGCATCCACCTGGATGATGCAACGGCACCCATAGTGCACCAGAATGCTCACCACACATCAGCTATCAGTGGGGAGGAGAGCAATTCATAGATGGGGATTATTAGGAGGCCATGATAGGTAAGGGCCAATGGGAAATTCGGCCAGGACGCCGGGGTTACACCCCTATTCTTTTCGAGAAACACCCTGAGATTTTTAATGACCACAGAGAATCAGGACCTCAGTTTTACGTCTCATCCGAAGGACGGCGCCTGTTTACGGTATAGTGTCCTCGTCACTATACTGGGGCATTAGGACCCACATGGACTGCAGGGTGAGCGCCCCCTGCTGGCCCCATTAACACCTCTTCCAGCAGCAACCTTAGTTTTTCCCAGGAGGTCTCCAATCCAAGTACTGACCAGGCTCACACCTGCTTAGCTTCAGTGGGTTCCCAGTTGTGAGTTACAGGGTGATATGGCTGCTGCCATTAGATCGTTTGCATGTAAATGTAACAAGATACAAAGTCCATGTTTATTTATGAGATTTCTTGGTTAATTGAAAACATGTTAAATCAAAGTCAATGCATAGGTGATGAAAAAGCAAACTGATTGCAAATTAAAATGAGATAAAATATAATGTTCCTTTCCCTAAATGTTTGTACTATAAGTGCATTATGATATTTGAACCATAATACAATCTAAAATGTATATTTCTCCTTTTGTCTTTCTTCTTGCAGTTCAGAAATGGAAGGTCATTGTGGGTTTTTCTTGTACTCTGAGTCTGATTGTGTTTCTTGTAGTCTTGTTCTTGTTTTGTATGAGGATCTGCAAAACATCAGGTGAGATCTGATGAAAATTCAAATTACATCTGTGGCATTGTTTGCATTATCCAATTTATTTTTTTGTACTGAATTTGAACAATGACAGCTGTTGAGTTTTGAAGATACTCTACCTGCATCAATTTGTCTTAGTGTTTCTTCTGTGGTCTGTTGATACAGTACTTATATATCTGCTTAAAATAGACACTAACTACTATATATTAAACATTATATTTAATGTTTTTGACTTGCTGTTTTCTCTACCTTTTCTGTTTCATTGTATGTTGTTATTTTTCACAGGTCAGAGCACTAAAAATCAAGAAGATATGTTTATTTCAATGAACGACCAAAAATCCCAAAACTCAGGTAAAAAATAATGTTTCGGTCTACTCCATGATCCATTATTCACTCTCTTTGACTTGTCCAATAATGTCTTCTCTACTCCAGGTAATCCCATAATTCAGAATCTTTACAAAATAAAAGACTGTTCTCTTGAAAACATATATGCAGGTAAGTAAAAAATTCAGCACTGTTTCTCAGTTCGTCATGAACATGTTCAGAAAAAAACAAGTTAATCTATTCATTTATTATTTCTGTGTGAATCCTCACACTCTAAGATAATTACAAGACTCATTCACCCTACAAAAGCATTTGTAGAAATAATTAAATAAACCTGTAGCATTAGACATATTATGTAATCTAGGATTTTACTTATTAAAATGTGTGCTTAACTTAATATGAAACCATAGATAGTTTTTAAGAAATCAAATTAATCTGACAGCATTTAAGCATTTTTTTCAGATGTATTACTCTTTCTTTTTCTCTTCCTTTCTAGTACACTTACTATATTTCACGTTTCTTATTTTCATATCCTTTAGGAAACTCTATGGAAGAGACTACCAGTTTAAAGTTTCTCAACAAAGATACTAGTGAGTCTATGAGACAACCCCTCCATGTAATATCATGTAATTATTTGTTTCAACCATCTGTGATCTGTCTGCTTTCAAATATGTTTTTTACTATGTCATTGATTCTCAGGCAGCAGGTGTGATTTGCTTATTTGTTGTATTTTATTATGTTTTTGTTTGTATATGATTATTATTGTCCTCATTTAAAATTCAAAAACATATGTGTCTGAATATTAACGAGCTCTTTCTGCAGTCAAAAGATGGGTGTTACTGGTCAATGTTATCAATGACTAATGAGGAGAAAACTGCTGTACATGGTGAAAAATTTGAAAGCTCTTTCCACCCTAACCTAGAAGGATGTTCATTGTAGTTTTCATATACAGTATGAATTTGAATTGCCCAAGGTAAGGGTTTCTGCTAAGCAAACAAATAAAACGTATTTATGCTTGCAGGTCAACTCACAGAAAAAAATATAGGTATACTCTCTTCTTTTAAAGGTAAGTGACCCTTTTCTCTCCATCAAAAAAATAACAAATTGCTATTTACATAAACCATATTGTTATTTACATGTCATCAGTTCATTTAGTTGACAGTTCCTAGGTGCACCGGGTTAGAAATAACATGAAAGCATTATATTAGATTTTCATCTTTAACAGTTAAATGTCTGCAGTAGAGCTCTTAACAATACAAATGTGAGCTATTACAAATGTTAAATAGGTTTTAAAATTGAAAGAGAAAACTAAATAATATATTATTAAAGTTTGTTTTTGCAGCTTAGTGTATGTAGTATTTATTGGTGAGAAAAAATTGGAGTTTCTCTTATTTACAAGTTCCTCTTCACAAGTCATTTCATGAAAGGCTTGTCAGTGATGCCTTTTATGGAATTCTTCTAAGCTGTTCTGAACGTTTGAGTTTCTATCAGCACAGAGAAAACTTTCCCTATTTTGAGGGAAAAAGACCCTTTAAATCACTACCTGTCATGAACCTCTCCAGAGGTCTCACCCTTACTTTCTGTCTATAACTAGATCTTAATATTCACTGCTTGTATTCCTTTTACTCAAACTGACTTTCCACTGGTACTAACACCACTTTATACAACCACTAGCCCAGCCAGCTTTAGCTACGGTAAATGAATTCTATTTAGTTGTTAATTTGTTTGGCACAGCAGTCTTTACTGAATCCAAATCACTAAATTTAATCTATTGAGCGTGGCCACTGAGGTTATGGAGTTCAGGACTTAATCCAAACCTAATCCACTTTAAGAACGCTTACAATTACCAATGGGTACAACCTATGGTCTTAGATTTTTCTTACCAGAGTTCTTGTGATAATAGCTCTCACTTAGTGATGCTCACTCAAACCACGATACCAGATACCAGTTCTCTTTCGATGTACAGTGTAGAAAATTAACCATTGATAAAGACAACACTTCTCCACATACAGTAGTAGTGCTGTAGAATTAAAGCATTCAGATAAAGTAAAATAATCTTTCTGTTGTATTGAATTTGGTAAGTATGATGAACTTCCAATAAACAAAATGCAATGGAATTCTGACACAAACTAGGACCTCATAAACTGGGTCAATTATGACACCCTCAGTAATGAACTGTCCATATACATACCTCTTTTTCTACCATTCCCAGAAGGGTATTGGGTAAGGAAGAAAACTACATGACCTCACAACCAATAACTGCTTGTGATGACTTGTCTTAAAAGATACTGCACAGCAACTGGGATTTGCTTTCTCATTCTCTTAACGTCTGATATCTCACAGCAAAAAGAATCCTATAATTTTTACTATTGTTGTCAGATTGGCAACTCAAACAGCTTAGCCTCAAGTGATTGCCAGACTGAGAAAGACTGGCATAAACCAGAACTCTGCCAAAGAGTTTGTCTGCAACAAGAGAAGTTTGGACGAGCTTTGAATTGTCATTTTGCCTGATCAACAAAATAATAAAATTGGATATTTGTCAACACCACTGAGTAGCTACTGGCTATTCATCATAACAGCAACAACCATGAGTACCAGACTAACTCATTCCTTACTTGTGAATAGACCTCAGAGACTCTTTGCATTCCAGGAAGCTGACTGCAGGAAGTAGCAAAGTAGGAAATACTTTCTTTTGTATGTGCCACTGGACTTCATTGCCACAGAGCCAACAAAGATTGGACTGTTGTGACTTGATCCAGTATTCCACTCTCTCTAGGACATTCAAATACAGTCTTACAAAAAAATGCCCAGCTATTTATAGGAGACTAGGAGACTGCTTCAGAGAACATGTTAGGGCTGTGAAGATTAAAGATTATTCCAAGCACATAGTTTCTCATTTCACCTCAGACAGCCATGATCACACTGATCTGTCTCTGTTCTCAAAGAAGGGTTTCTCAACTCCCACAGCAGAAAGACAACAGAAACTAAACTCATCCTGAAACTACTGTAGGTTCACACCTTCCCCCTTCTCTCCGTGATAGACTTATTTTCGTGTAATCATCTTTATTCTCATGCGGGTTCTGACTTCACAACTTTCTCCACCCCTCTCCACTTTGCAATTTCTGACTGGCCTCTCTTCCTTACCCCTCTCCATCCTCCTACACTTTTCCAGCTTTTGTTCTCCTGTGCCATTTTAATCTTTGCCGTCTACCCTGTGTAGCGGCAAGGCTTATTAATAAGGCAGATTTAAGTGTTTCTGAGCTTCCCAAATGAGGCCCCATTTCTCTGTTCATCTCTGTGGTGCAGCCCCAGAGAAACCCATAGTACAGGGGGAGATAAGGTATAAGGACAGCTCCCAAAGGGGGATGCACTTAGCTAAGCCTGGCTATCATGATCAATGGTCATCCATTGGCGCCTATCTGTCTAGGGAGTGCCAGTTGGACATCTGGACTGCATTACTAAGTGTCAGGAGTAAGTGACTCATATCTCACCTTGATCAACCAATCAGGGACTGGTAGGGCCGAGTAACCCACGTGGGACTCTGATGCCCATGGAACTTTCAGCCAATCAATGAGCTGAAGTTCCTCCAGGTAAAAACAGGCAACACAGAGAGCCTGAGAGATTAAGATTCAGATTGAGATTCAGATTCAACAAGATTCAGAAGGGATTCTGGAGAGGATTCTGTGGACTTTTCTAAAGGGAATTCAAAGGAGAATTCCAGGGCAGGACGGCCCAGGAGCAGAAGGCTCCCAAGGGCAGGACATTCTCTCAGCGCGCCTCCTGACCATCCTGAGACTCAGCCCGGACAACCACGGAACGGCCGGTGTGTCCGAGTGCCAGAACTTTCCTTTGTTCTAAGAGTCTAGAGCGGAGGTTGCCAAAGAATAACCAGAGGATCCACCCGAGGTTAGCACCAGCAGCAGGCCTCGTGAACAGGTCGGAACTGTGGACAGCTGAATCACTATTCAGAACTAGCTCTTCATCAGGAACGAACCGGTCCTCTTCCTGACTTGCTGGGACCCACAGTCATCTTTTCTCCTGTGCACAAACTTTGCTAGTTAAAGCCAACAATGAGCATCAGCAGCGCACCGTCGCAAGCCGCACAGCACAGCCTGGCACGGAGCCAGAGAGCGCGGATTGGACAGCAACAGCCTCTTGTAATCCCTGAATAATGGATCAGCAATTTTTATGTATCATGGCATATTGCATCATATATAATCACTTTTCTCTTGATTAATTTTGCACATTTAATTATTCAATTAAAGAAAATTCTGATCTGTTTCCTTTGAATTTTATGTCACCATTTATGATGATTTATTCATACTTCCCATGAAGTATTCACAGAATTTATTGTTCTAATTTCTAATTGTTTTCTTTCATTATGACAGCAGTCTTTTAATGCATTGTTCCAATTAAATATAAAATCCTTCTACATTGTCCTGATGAAGAAAATGATGTGTTGACAGAGTTGCATTTTCAAGCACTATTTTTCTTAACTTACATTTCTATTTTTAAGCTACCTGCATGTAACTGCCTGCACTTGTACTGTATATTGTGGGTGTGTTTTATATCTCAGTTTGAAACAATGGACGCTATTTTTAGTTTTTGGTCTTTCAGTGCTGGTCAGAACAGACCAGTACTATAAACTGCTGATTATCACAGCTAGTCTGTGTAATTAAAATTGTTCAGATTTGGTTCTTGTGTTTTAGATTGAATTTATACTTAGTGTCCAAGCATTAAGGAGTGTTTTGTATATTTCACATTTTGTACATCCCAGACTCTGCTCAACCCTTCATGCCCATGGGATATTATATTTTCTTACCCAGTGGCTGATATAATCATTTCAACAGTCATTATAATATATATATTATATTATATATTATTTTTATATGTTAAAATCATATCTGCACTCAATTAACATTTTTATTAAAAATCAACAATACATTAATTGCAGTTTAACAATATGTTTTCATCTCTTTCTGGCCTAAACCACATTGGTTTTACTCAAAGCAGTCCTTCAGAATCAGCAACAATTTGAACCTAAGTAAAAAAAGTACAAAAATCATCTTTTACACTGCAATAGACTAGATACAGTCAGTATACATTCATAAACCTGATAGCAGATTGAAAATTGAATATATGGAGATACAACAAAATGCCCTTTCATTCAGACTGCATGTTCCTCAGAGCAGCAGAATATTTACACGAAATGTGGGTGTAATTCTCATCAAAGCATGCATCTGGTTGGGCCCTATGTATAGCAGCTTCCAGTATATCACTTCCTTATCTGTACTAACCAGAAACCACCTAAAACTCTCTTGTCCATTGATACACTCAGAATGCATTGTGAACCTCCCAAGACAAGTTTTGTTTGTGTTCTGTAACAGAATAGTTTTAGAAAGATGTACTCTCTGATAAGACTGGTTTGGCAATGGCTCTAAGCCCCAGATGCCACTGTACTGTAACTGCTCCATCTCAGTGATGACTTTCCAATTGCTACAAACCTTTTTATCGAAGCTAGTTGCATTGATTTTCTGAAACCTGTTTTATGAAAAACACAGTTACATTATAGTATATATACAGTATATTGCTACCACATGAACTGTGAAACCTTTCTTTTTCTGCAGAGCTCCCTTTTTAATGTTTATTTTTCATGCTTAACCTTTAATCTGTTAATTTAAATTCCTAGTCTTTCTGTATGATTTTATAATATATATATAAATTAAAAATTCAATTAAAATAGTTTTTCAAATAGTATCACTTTTTTGTACTTGCAGAGCAACCAGTAAAAGAAGAAATGCGTGAACTCTCTTCATTCATAGGTAATAATTTACATTTTCTTTCTTTGTAAAACTGAACAAAATATAGAGCCCCCAATATACTTGAAAAAAATAAAGTCTCAGGATCAATTTGTTTACAAAATCATTGGTAAACAAATTCAAATCTCTATCTACTAATTCAGGTAAACCATTACTAATATTTACTAATATGTTTGCTCAGTTTACTTATTCATGTACACAGCTCAGTAAGTTGTACATGGATTATGTAACATGCACATTTTAATCATCTAATAATTGACTGATCATGAAAAGTATGGACTCATATTAGTGCAGTTAAGTTTAAATTAATTTAGTAAACAATGTCTTCATAAAAATGCAAACTATTGTCTTGAGTATTGGCAGGGTGTGGCAAGTGCTTTCACAAAAGCTGAAAAGGCAGGGGCCTATATTTGCACAGGATCTGTTTGGGGTTAAAAATCTCAACATGGAACAGGAAAATGTTATAGCAATATAATTTTTTTTAAAAGGCATATTTTTAATGTCCACTGCAGGATACAATGTATAAAGAACGTGTGAGTTGATGTTGAATATAAACAACTACTTTAAATGTTTTTAGAACATTTTGAAAATACCACAGTATATGACATTCAGTATATAGATCCAAACCTACAACAGTTGGCTTATCTTTCATACATGAAAGAACTAAATCAATTTGAATTCTGCAGTCCTGCAAAAACTGTTGAGAGAGTTAAATTTGAAAGAATAAGCATACATGTTGATTCATATATGAAACCTAAATAATATTTACTGTAGATACTGTAGACATACTGTACAGTATCTCCTGGACAGCTCTTCACTATACAGCAGAACAGTGACCAAAAACATATAGTCAGTACAAGGTCTAATTTCAGTTTTTGGTCTATTTTGCTATAGATAATTTAATATATTTCTTATTGATAATTCAAACTGTTATTCAAAACAATCTTAGATTAGACATCTACAGTATATGCTTATCGATCACATTTCTTTACTTAGAGTTTGTAAAATATTTTCAGTACAAAAAAAAAGAAACACAACGTTTTGGCTGTGGAGCCCTCTTCAGGTGTGACATTGTCATTGTGATCTAACAATGTTATCTGACAATTTTGATAACAAAACTACACATTGACATTCTTTTGATGTTGCTTTTAATGACATTGATTTTCTTAATGTTTTCATGGCAACGTTAGGTTAGATATCAGCTCAGTAATATTTTGTCATATTTTCTCTTAATGCAAAATAGATTTCAAGGCTTGGAAAAGGATAACTCAGTACTGTTTTCAGCTCAGCAGTGTGTTCTCTTAATGCTAACTACATTTCAAGGCTTAGAAAAGGATAACTTGGGAGTGAAAGACTTGCATATCTAAAACTGCAGTTCCACATGTATTAGGTAGTTAATGCCACATCCACACCATCATATTGCTGGTCTAAAAAATAAGCCATCTTAGTGAGCTATCCTATGATAGGATCAATGTCTTCCACTTCTACAGAAAAGTGTTATGACATATTCCCAATGCAGAGTACAGCAATCAAAAACGGAGGAAACACTAGTACTTGGTTACAAACAGTATAAGAGGGCAAAAATACTCCCTATTCATGGGTTTCATTTTGGGCGATCCATCCTACAGTATAATGTTCAATAGTCCTACCTTTATTTAGGAGTTAGTTGTACTGTACGTTAACATGGATTATTACAAGTTCATAAATATGATAAATAATAACTGGTAGACAATGTAAGGCTCTGGCTGCCCTGTGACCAAGTATCAGATAAAGCTGTTAGAAAATAGATAGATGGATAGATAAATAACGTAGACAATACATTATATAATTATTGTTCTGGGCTCAGAGATATATCACCATGTGATGTTGTCACATATCAGAAATAATACAATGTTGACTGTTGCCTCATTTTTGTTTTATTTATTTTTGGAGACATGGTTTAACTGAATCGCATTTTACTGTAGTTGTTGTCAGCTTCTGGTCAGCAGGTAATAGAGAATAAAATGACAGCCTCCTCACTGTGGGATATTCGCAGTTCAATTATTTTTAATATAGTACTCAGTGCTGTATTTCAGTTCACATGCGTTGTTTAAGACTGGTGAAATGTTCTGTGAGTTGTAGTGTGAGACATTTTAAATAATACTGTATACGCTTAATTATATTAATATCGAGATACACAGCATATATAGCATGTATGAGTTTTTGAATGCATTGCTTCTATTGCCTTTGGATCTATACTTAAATCTCTGAAAAAATCTTTTACTATCATCATGTTTTTATTCCTTTCTCTTCTCTGGAAAAATCCCTTGCCTAAAAGATTACTCCCTTTGAGTCCTACTTTTACTGCAATTCAATAAGCTCTTTTTTTAGGGAGCAATAGAAGAAGATAATTATACAATACAAATTTAGTCTTATATAGCTCCCTTCAGACAGTGGAATTGAGATTCTGTCCAAAGTTAAAAGAAATATTTTTTTTTCTGCATGTAAAGCAAATGAATAATATATAATATATTGATTGTTGAGGCTGGTACATTAATTTGAGTATCATCGGCATAAAAGTGAAAATAAAGTGTACGGATGCTAATGATATCACCAATACTGTATGTTGTGAATATACTGTAGCACTGTATATAATATATAAATACAGTAAATTACTGTACAGTATGTTGTTGTCAACACATTTTTCGGACACAATCCTGAACAACCCATACAGTCTCCAGGTGTTGTCCAGGTCTTATTTCAGTGTTAATTGAGTGATGACGCTAAGGTACTTTTAAAACTTAAAGAAAACTGGTAACACAATGACCAGGATTGCCTATCCTTATGGGTCTCTGAATTTGTTTTGTAGGAGCAGAAGGGGTTTGCATACACTGAGAGGCTGAGAATTATTGATTCACTGCTTTACTAGGACAGGAAACAGGTCATATGTGTTCCACAGTGGTATTCTAGGTACAGTACGCACATTTGCATTTCATATACAGTACTTCACAACACATTGCTACAAATGCTCATATACAAGCATTTTCCCTTTCTTGTTGAATTAAGGAGATATTATAGCATATACAATTACTATACAATGGCCTAATACAGTATGTTCGTAACTCACAATAAGGATAGTCAGTTTTTCCGCTAGGTTTATGCTATGTAATACACATTTTTCATCAATTTCCCTACGGGATTAATAAAGTATTACTGTATCTATCTATTTTTCTTTTCTTTGACACTTCCACACATTAACCTAAATTTCTCAGCTTCTTAGAATATATTTTAACTTCTTAGAATAAATTAGAATACATTTACTCTGCAACAGTTGTGAACTAAATAAACATTGTACGGTATATACAGCAAACACTGTTCGTGTTAGCAGAATCCACTAAAGTAGAACATTGAAATATACATTATACATTAGTATTCAGGCTTACTGAAGAAAATATTTTTATTGTAATCCTAATACTAGTCACAATTTAATTTCTGAATCTTTATTTTCTTTAATTTTTCCTCTCTTTTGATTAAACAGGGCGAAAGACAAGCAATGAAAGTCAGAGTTTCATACAGTGAAATGTGCATGGAGAAGAAAAAATGTTTTGTTTTAATTCAGAGATAGTATTTTTGTTTTTTTGTATATTTGTGAGTATTAACTCTACATAGAACTCAGACAATTATAAGGACATTGACTAAATTGAGAAACGATACAGCATCTAAACAGTGCCATGAATATACTGTATATCATTAATGTGAGTACATGCTTAATTTAATTAAATTAATTAGCAATGGTGTGAGGTGTGGGACTAAAATTATCATAAGTGGCTTCTAGTCTTCAACTGATTATCTCCTGTGCCTTTTAGCTTTTAAATATTATTTTTAATGTATATAATTAATATCTTGTATTTTCTGTTTAGTTTTTTCTAGGTTTGTCTAGTAAATTACTTTTAAATGTTTTTTCTAAATGTGTCTGTTCACATCTCACATCTATTGTCCTATATAGAACTTCAGGGTATTATTGTATATAATTTATTTAAGGGAACACCTTGGAGTGTCCCCTTAAATCATAAATTAATAATAAATTAATACTTATATTGTATTACAAGAATATAAGTTTAGACTGTGTTTAAAAATGTTTTAAAAAATACTAATTCTTAGTTTCAATTGTATTTTTTGGTTTCATAATTCACTGTTGATTCTGAAGGTTAAATCTGTCAGTGCCACTAAAAGATTAAGATTAAAAAAGGTTAACCTTAACCTGTTTTTTTATGCTTTGACATGCTTTTTGCATGCATGACCTGTTAATGGTCCTCAATAAAGCATGTTCTAGATCTCTTTCTGTGGAACTCATTTGTTTTTACTCAGCTAACCTGTGTAAGTAGATATCATTTTGCACTCTAAGCTGCCTTTTTCTGTCTTTACAAAACTGTGAGCACTGGACAGAGACTTGTATTTTCAATAGTTTCATTTTGAAAGTGACTCTCAAAAGGGTGTTGAGTACCCTCTACTGGCAACAGATGGAACTGTGCATCTTTTCTGGCAAAACATAATATCATAATCATAATAGAATAAAATCATAATAGAATATAAGCAGATATAATATACAAAAACTGTTAATTACTCAAGGATAATGTGCATCGAAACTGTTTTGTTGTTCTTCTTTTTGTTTTAACTTGTAATTTTGACATAAATTCACAGATTTGAGTATACTTGAAATAAATACACTTTTTCAAGTATCCCTTTACAGATGAAACTACTGTAAGTCATGCACGTTTTTTCCATTGTGCCATTTGTCTAGTAACAAGGAAGCATACAATTAGATATACCATAACCAAGAACCAAGAATGCCAACACCGGAAATATACCTCAACATAATACAATGATGAATTTCTGTCTTAAAGAATAGCGGGAAAGAAAGAAAGAAAGAAACAATTCTCTGCACCAAATCCTTGTAAATGTAGAGCTGAAGAAAAATATTAGAATTGGCAAGAGAGGGAAAGTGAATATTGTAACATAGGCAAAAAATAATGTGAAGCATTTTTTCTAGCACATCAAACAATAGTAAAAGTGCAAATAAATCGTTTTTGAGTTTTTGAGATCTGATAAAGATATGGCTATCATACAGGGGCAGTTAGAAAAATAATAATAATAATAATAATAATAATAATAATAATAATAATAATAATAATAAGCACCAATAGAAAAACAAGGTAATCAAAAGTCTGAGATTTAGTCCTAGATAAAGTGAGCAAAGCATGTTTTAAATCTCTTCCCTTGGAACTAATTTGTTTTTGTACTCAGCTAGCCTCTATTCAGCTATGGAAGTATTGTAATAATAAACTTTATTTTATATAGCGCCTTTAAAGGTGGCTTCTCAAAGCGCTTTACAGAATGACAACAACAATAAATAAAAAGAATACACAAGATAAAACACAATTACAATACACAGAGGAGACCGTGGATGGTGGTACTAAGGAAAGCAGAGGGGTAAAGATTGGAACCATTTAGGTAAAGACTTTTCTAAAGAAGAAGGTTTTGAGTCTGGATTTGAAGGAGTTAACAGAAGGTGACTCTCTGATATCCTTGGGCAGAGAGTTCCAGAGCTTGGGGGCATAACAGGAGAAGGCCCTGTCACCCATACAATGTAGATGGGCTTGGGGGACAGTTAGGAGACCAGCTACAACTGAACAGAACCTATGGGAGTTCAGAGATGTACTGTATGATGGAGCCAGATTATTTAAAGCCTAAAAAGTCAGTGACAAGATATTGTATTAAATATGTGACTTTATAGGCAACCAAGGTAGAGATTTAAGTGTGAGAGTGATATGCTGTCAAGGTCTGGTGTGATTTAAAAATCTAGCTGCAGAGTTCTAAACCTAGTTAGGAGGTTATGAATTTGATGAATAAATTCAGGTTATCTGCATCACACACTGATAATGTAGGCTATGTTTATAGATGAAAGATAAATAAATCACTGATGGTATATATTATTGATATATAAATGTGGCCATTCAAAATGCGTGGTAAAAATCCATACTGCAGGAAATGATCTACAGCCTACCACAGTACGTGCTTCGCTGGCCAAAATGACCGACAGGTGGCACTTGTGGTGCATTAGGTGTTAGGGAAATAATTGCTTTAAAAGTTAATGTTGACAAACATCCCTCCATTTTTGTTCATCTGGGCAAACCTGTGTCTTCCCATGACCTCCTCAAAACCATTGTTATCTCATCCAATTTCAGCATAGAAGGTGCTTATAATTACACTGATGTCCTTTATCTTTGAGGTCCTTTATATTGCTTTTGTTTTGTAGTCTATAGTAGAATTCATCTTTAGTTTTCAAGTCTCTTCATGTCTTAAGTGAATGCATATCACTGGTGGATGTTTGGCTTTATTTTCCTGTCATTGGCTCTAAAACAAGCCTGGATGATTCTTGGGCCTGCTGCCTCCCAGCTGATAAGTGTTCACTGTGCAACTTTGTCATCTCACCTGACAAGAGCTTCAACTGGCCTGCTTGCAACGGTCTGGTCTCACTCAATCCAAGCACTTCAATGTTGTAGTTGGGCATAGTAGGAGTGTATGTTTTTCAAGGAGATGTAATTGAGTGAAGTGGAATTGAGACAGGGTGCCTCACAACAATCAGCTTATGTTTGTCTACAATGAAGGAGGCAATTTAAGAACAAAAAGGCACTTGATGCAGAAAAGTCTAACATGATTTCAAGTATTCAATTTTCTTTGTAAATATTACTGAGCTTAAATACAGAGAACAATTAATTTCTGACAGATGTTTATTTAAAAAGTACACTACATATATTAGTTATATAGAAATTAGCATGTTTTGATGTACAGTAAATGATCTACAGATGCAGCCATTCAAAGTGAGCGGTACAGACACGTACCGCAGGTAAGATGACACGGGGTACCGCGGTGCGTGATTGGTTGAACGGTATGATTATAGCCGTGTACTGCGACAGGGCTGTTTCGCCTGCCTGTTCATGCGAGCTGACTTGTAGCCTACTGGTCTAGGTGCGTGACTACCAACTGGCAGGTTGTGTGTTCGAATCCAGCTAGTGCTGGACCTTTCAGTTTTATTTATTTGTTTTTTGATCATGTAACATAAACATATTACCGTATGCAAACTGTACTGTATACAATATGTATATGTATATTTAATGTCTTAACTGTGCCCGTTTAAGTATTGAATATTCATATCTAATTTTACCACTGAAGGGAAATCTTAACATAAACATATAGTATATGGCTGGTCTCGGTACTTTAAAGAAAAAAATACACACCAGTATTCCATTTCTCCCTAAACATTGTAAGCTTCGAAGTCTTTAACTAACGTGATACCGGAGTCAACAAGCATACTTTTAGAATTTGATTAAAATGGAATATAATATGGAATCGCGTATCTCAAGAAATTAATAACGATATAATTATATTCATGTTGCAAAAGAACTGCAACGGACATAAAAACTCCCTTGCTTTTAAGAGAGCGTTCCATAATTTCTAACTACGAAAATGCCAGGTGAAAGGATTTGTAAACATATTTTGTTAAAGCAAGTCAGTTTTTTCCGCAACACATAAAAGACATTTTTCCAAGAAAGTTTAGCCTTTGTCACTAATGAAACCACTAAATAAAGACATAAATATAGAAATCTTAAGATTTGTTTTATTTAATGTTGGTAGCAGGATGAACTGTCAGAGTGTATATTTTGTTGCAGAGTTGCTGCAAGATGTTAACAGTGAAAAAGGTATTTAGAAATGAATTATTTCAAGATGAAAAAGAAAACATACACGAAACATGGTTTCATTATGACCAGAATCGGTCTTGAGATATTTTTAACTTGATTTACAATATTTGAGAGGTATGTCTTAACACCAATACTACAGTACTGCTCACGTATATGTTTCTAGGTTTATATTATGCATTTCATACGGTCAAATTACTTTTGAGCAACTAATAAGAAGCGCGAAACGGTATGCGTTTTAGTTTCGTTTTGTGCTGGGACCCGTGGATTGATTAGAGATATCAAGTACATACAAGTCATTTTTTAAATGTTGTAGTTCGTCTTGAAAAAATGTTACGAGTACATCATCTATCAACAATTACACAGGCTCTGTTTCCATATTGTGGATTTTGGTTACGTAATATTATTTTCTAGATTTCACGTTGTGAATATGAAATACCTTACCCATTTTGAATGGATGCATCTGTAAGTAAATGTTGCCTCTAAAATGCACTCCAGGTCTGGAGTTGGTGAAAAAACAATATATACTGCAATGTTTGTTTTCAATTTTATGTTCTGATCACACAGACACTTTTTGCTTGGAATGCCTGAACATTTTTAGCAACAGCTATTACTGTACTCCAGTGATTCTGAAAGAGACTACAATTAAAGCAAAGACTTACTTATCTAACTAAATACCCTAGCACAGTGTTTCTTGATCAGAGTATTATATTTAATGGAGTCAATATTATCAGCTTATAGTAAACATATTGTTGGATTGAGAAACAAAAAAAGAGCTGACTCTCCTAACAGGCACCGTCAAATGCAAACACTGTTACAGAACGTATATTGTGTCCAGTGAAGGCTATTTCTGATAGGTTGTAATCAATGTACCCTCTGATTCTTTCAAAACTGAGCAAACAGGAACATTTTGTGTGCACAAACATCACTGCTATTAGCAACTTGAGGGTTTGCTAAATGTATTGAAGTTTTTTGGCATACCCAAAATGAATCTAAACTAGTATAATATATTTTAATATGGTAATCCATCCAGTTTCTTTTTCTTTATCAAATACAGAGTCAAAGGGTAGCCATAGCCTATACCAGCAAACAAAGGATGCAAGGTAGCATACACCCTAGACATGATGCCAGTCAGTCACAGGGAGCACACAAGA